TGGAGGTTCACAGAGGTGCATTCCAACCTCACAGGCCCAGTAGACACAAACAACTTCAAAAGTGCAGTATCCACTCCCTACCTCTGCCCTTCAAGTCATCAACATGTCCTCGGAAATTTTGACTTTAAGCAAAACAATGTTTAAGGAAACCAGGTACTCCCACAAGATCCTTTCATTCAATACAGGCTAGGATTTCTTTTTTCCCATCAGCATTAGAACAAAACTTCATTAAACTTATTTTAGAACAGCTGTATAGACAGGAGCTGTGTGTGATAAAATAATTCTGAAGTGATGAATTTTGACTATTCATTACTTTTGTGGTAACACAATTTATTTAATTACAAATTCATGTGATGTATGTGCAACTGTGTTTGTCAAACAGCCTGAAAATTTAACAACTGGTTCTCACATGCTAGCACAGGCCAGATGTAGCAGACTGCTGGGCTAGAACTCGGAATTTTTTTTTAGGGTCCAAGATGTCTGTCTTTTTTTTTTTTTTTTAAGGCCGCATTGGTTGACAGCACCATACAGGTTGTAAACACCTTTTCAGTTGTCTGTCACCACACCACACCCACCACCCAAGCACCCAGACTCCCCTACCGCAGTCCAATGGAAATTGGCACTTTTTAAGCTGTGGCAGGTTTTCAGAGCTTGGGGACCACGCCACCTTCACCTCACAGGTGAGGAAACCTGTCTGGTCAGGTGGTGGCATGGGTGAGGCTGGCGGCAGGCTCAGGAATAACCAGCATGAGCCCATAGGCCCTGGGGCTGCTGCCCTGGAGAGATTTTGATGACTCAACACCCTGTTCCTAAAATGTGATTAGTTTTCAAACCCTAGAAATCTGAGGGCAGAATTGAGGCCCTAGAGGGGGAGGGAGAGGCTGGGAAACAAATGGGACAGGACTCCACGGACTGTGGAGAAGATTATGGGTCTTCGGTGGTGGGCATGGCGAGGTCACCTACATCTGAAAGGGTCATCAACAGGTCCTTGCAAACTTTGACTTTAAGCAAAACAATGTGTAAGGAAACCAGGTCCTTCCAAACCCTGTACCTCTGAATCATATCTGTGTTGTAAATGAAATTAAAATGCTGAATAAACATGGTTAGCTTTCAAGAAAAGCAGGAGGAGGAAAGGAACTCGGTGCCTACGGGAAGTGAGGGTGAGTCAGGTAGAGAAAGTGGAGGACGAAGGTGCCAGCAGCCATCCCAGAATCAAAATCAGACAAGTTTAAGGAGGAAGCCTCTTACCACCAAGTGATCCAGGAGAAAGAAAACTAAGGGGGACGGCCTCCTTGGTGACACAGGGGTTAAAGACAGCGCAATCAAGCTATCGCCAGCCTCTGCAGCACGAGTTCCATCCCAGCCGGCCAGGGAGCAACCCACATGGCGCAGCAGACCTCTCCTGTCTCTCCCGCCGCTCCCCTCAGCAGTGTATTTCAGTCAGTCTGCCTGTTCTGTTCCCCACTCTGTCTCTGGTGAATCCTCTCACTGCACCTCTGGCCTGTACCCCAGTTCTTTTATGCATAAATAAATAAATCTTTGAAAAGAAAAGAAAACTAAGGGGGGGGAATAATTAACCAGTAGGGAGGAAGACAGAGATGGTCCTACCTGATCAGAAATTGAATGTAGATTCCATTCTGGGGGTTATGGAATTTAATAACAAACAAACAAACAAAACGCAGAAGCAGAGGGAACAGGACTCTGACCTGAGGACCTGAGCTGTAAAAAGGTGAAAAAGCAGCTGGTAACCCATGGGAGTAACAAAATGAAAGCTCACAGGAGTGAGCTGGTTCTCTTTAAGATGGCGGATGTGAAATGGTGGACGTGAGTCAGGAAGCAAATGGAGAAACCCAGTGAAGGGGGAGAAGTAGAACCTCATCTTAGAGTTCTCATATCAGTCTTTCCTTCCCTGTACTCTATCCTTCCCCCAAGCAGGTTGAGTCTCTGGATCAGTCCCTTGTGTTCTGGAAGAGCCAGGACTTTCATTCCCCTATGCCAGGACAGCCCCACTAGAATTTCAATGACCCTGTCTCTCCGCCGTATTCCGTGGACCCTCGCCCATTAGCCAAGGTTCTGCTTAATATCATGGCTGTGCCTTGGGTGAAGGACAGAGATCCAAGCCATTACCAAGTCACACTTAATATATTAGAAAGGCAAAACGAGAACATTAGAAATCCGTGTGTTCCCATCACTCAGCTTATCATTGGGAAATCAATGCATCCCCCACTGCATCCCACCATGGCCACCCCGCTCCGAGGTGATCTGAATTTGGAGGTGATCAGTCTCATGCATCCCTTTCCAAGTGTATCATATACCTGTTTCCCTGCAAATATAGCACCTTGATGTGCTTTTTTATTTATTTTTTTTTAAAGATTTATTTTTTTATGCATACAAGAACTAGAGCACAGGCCAGAGGTGTGGGGGTGAGATGATTCACCAGAGACAGAGTGGGGAACACAACAGGCAGATCTACTGAAATACACTGCTGAGGGGAGCAGTGGGCAAGACAGGAAAGGTCTGCTGTGCCATGTGGGTTGCTCCCTGGCGGAGGATCGAACTTGTGCTGCAGTGGCTGCAGATAGCTTCATAGGTTGTGGCCTAACCTCTTGCACCACCAGGGAGGCCCTTGATGTGCATTTTTAAAACTTTATGTGCCCCATGTGTTTTTCTTAATGGTTTTCCAGTGGATTTCCTCCACGCGGATACATGTAACTCTGCTACATTCCTCTTTGCTGCTGGCTTTATTTTGGTTTTGTTTTTTCTTTGTTGTTTCTTATAAACAGGCACTGATTGAAAGTGCAGTCATGGGGATCAGACGTCTAGCGTTCAAATCCTATCCCTGCCACTTACTTTAGGTAAAATGGTTTCCATTTACCTCTAACTCAGTCTGCTTGTTTATAACCCTCCTTAAAGTGGGGTTGTTAGGGTAACAACCACTCCTTCAAGGGGCTGGAAATTGAGTCTGCCATGTAAAAATACAACCTAAATATTGACTCTTACTATTTTTCCATCCACATGGTTATCAGGAAATGCAACATCAAAACCATAAACAGGGCCTCTCCTGGTGGCGCAGCGGTTGAGCGCTGGGCTGTGAAGCTGCCCGCAGCCTCTGCAGCGCTGGTTCAATCCCCGGCCCCCGGTGAGGGTCCCACATGGTGCGCAGACCTCTCCTGCTGTGCCCGCTCCTCCCCTCAGCAGTGTGTTTTGTCACTCTACCTGTTCTGTTCCCCGCTCTGGCTCTGGTGAATTCCCTCACCCTCCCACGCTTCTGACTGTACCCAGTGCATGTATAAATAAACAAACAAATAAATAAATGAATGAATGAATGAATAAATAAAGAAATAAACAAATAAACAAACCATAAACAGCACTCAGAAATCTCAGGGAAAATATCAAAGCAACAACATCAAGCGTTTCTGGCGCATTATCGTCACTGGCTACAGGTAGTGCTATTCACTATCTCTGTCTCTCATCTATCCCCCTTACGTGAATCACTCCATTCTTTCCCGGACCACTCATCCCGGAAAAATTGTTTTAAATAAACAAAAAAGATTTTCCATTTTCAAGCTCGTACAGATAGAACATGGGTTAGTGGATGACTAGAGTGACTTGGAGGTGAATAGGGTTAACAAGACTGTGACTGGGCCTCCCCGGTGGCGCAGCGGTTGAGCACTGGGTTGCGAAGCTGCCCGCAGCCTCTGCAGTGCCGGTTCGATCCCCGGCTGCTCCCCAGCCACCGGAGGAGGGTCCCACATGGCGCGCAGACCTCTCCAGCCGCCCGCTGCTCCCCTCAGCAGTGTACTTCGGTCCTTCTGCCTGTTCTGCTCCCCGCTCTGGCTCTGGTGAATTCTCTCACCCTCCCGGGCTTCTGACTGTATCCAGTACTTGTATAAAATAAATAAAGAAATCTTAAAAAAAAAAAATTAAAAAAAAAAAAACAAGACTCTGACTAAGGAAGAAATATGTGCAGCTTCTTCATCACCAGAAATCTGAGCCAGTCATTACACCTTCTGGATTGTCTTGGCAGCTTATTTGGCTGGGTTGTCAAAATGTTCCCTGTTAATACCACCAACCACTGCAGCAAAACATAATTATTTCCAAAAAGAAATGTCAGGATGGCTGTTGAAATCGGATTTATATTTTCCCATTGTTTTATTATATGTCAGGACATCTAATCTAGTGTAGAATGGCTATTGCTTCAAAGCATGTGTTATTTCTAATTACCCGATATTAGATCAAAATTATTGTTTGTCTCTATGGTGTACATTATGCTACTATGAATTTTCCAATGCAAAATAAATTACTCATGTGTTCAAAATGGAAATGGAAATTGCTATGTCAGTTTTTCAAAGAGCAAGGTTTTACATTTTTCTTTGGGGGGGCGGGTTGCATCAGCACCAACAATGAATCATTCTACCAGAGAGGTTATCCCACTGCAAAAGCATCTGTTTGCCTGTCCCCTTCCAGCAGGAAGGTATGTGTCACTTTAGTTGTGAGAATAAGTTTGGGAAACAAAAAAATAAATGGCGGCTACCTGAAGTCCATCCCTATCACATGCAAATTTCTTCCAGCCCGAGCCAGTACATTTACCAACAGAATTTATTATCGAACATATAATGGGCAACACTTGTTCCCTGAAGAGTGAAGCAACTCATTATCAAAAGCAGGCAAATGTCTAGAAAGAGAAATAAACTGAACTATCTCATTCAACAATGAAATGTCATCAATTTCAATAATAGACAACACCACACAATTTAAAAACAACGCTCGTCTTATTCAAAGTTTGGTCTTCACGCCATTCCTTCTGGCTAGAATTCATACTCCTTCCTCTATTGCCTTCAGCAATAAAAATTCCTCCTCCCACCTCGATCCCTGATGCAATTTGCAAATGGAGCCTCCTCTTGTGTTCCCTCTCTGACCGTTTTTAATTCTCAAGAGTTTTCTATAACCTCAGATTGCCATGTGTTCACCTACCCAAAGGGCCAGCAGAACCTACTTACTTCTTAGAGCATATTCTCTGGGCTCCATTGATTTCAGATCAGAAAGGAATTCATTGATGTCTTGCATGCACTTGAGGGAAATGTTTCTTGCAGAAAAAAACAAAAGGCAATTGAAATTGCAAAGAGAGTAAGACACAAGAGGAAAGTCAGGGCCATCATGGTGGCTTAACCTGTCAAAGAAAAATAAAATCCTTTTTAGACAAAGAGGCTTATATTTATGAAAGGTGGATCTAACACGTTGGGGAAATGTGGCATCATTCCCGACATAGCATCCAACGAGCTGCGTCTCCTCAGCCACCTGCAAAGCAGCCGAGATGAACGAACCATGGAAACCGATTTACACACAACTTGTAACTGCTGAGTAAAATGGACGTGGGAGCCGGTGACCACCTGGCTTCCTTCAGTTATGCAGATTAACATTTCCAGCTAGAGTGACCCGGACTAGGCTTCCTCAAGTTCATTAGTCTTATGTATAGCTCTGGGTTTAGCAATAAAGGGAGGATGGTAAATGGCAATATTTGATTAGGAACTTCAGAAACTTCCGGACAAACAGCAAGCAAAGAAGGGCTTCCTTGTAATCATTTAAATATTTTCTGCATCTGTTAAGGGTCGTGTACCTGACTTTGAAGGTGACACAGCTTTGGGTGGGGGAGCGCCGCCCCCCCCCACCACCGGGGGAGCCAGGACAGATCCGCACCCATGTCCACACTGGTAGCTCAGAACACACCTCCTGGGCAGGAAATGATCCTGAGAAAAAAACCTTGTCACGATGCACGTCCCTTTCTAAAACATAATAGTGTGCGCCTGGATTTCTCATGGTGTCAATGTTTTCCTTCCAGAAAATCTTTCTTCAAATAGTTACTTCGGGCCTCCCTGGTGGTGCAAGGGGTTAAGACGCAACCTATGAAGCTGGCCACAGCCTCTGCAGCATGAGTTCAATCCCCCGGCCGGCCAGGGAGCAACCCACATGGCGCAGCAGACCTCTCCTGCCTCACCTGCTTGCTCCCCTCAGCAGTGTGTTTCATTCAATCTGCCTGTTCTGTTCCCCACTCTGTCTCTGGTAAATCCTCTCACCCCCCACACCTCTGGCCTATACCCCAGCTCTTGTATGCATAAATAAATAAATATTAAAAAAAAAAATAGTAACCTCCCTAACTACCTTAAAATGGGACGCAAATGTCATGGAAACTTGCTGACACTGCCAGAACACATCCGAGCCGTTTCGGGTAATTGACTCAGTTGAACTTCCTGCCACTCACTGGCTTCGCAGAAGCCTCTAGCATATGGGACCCCCTACTCTTTGTCTGAGTCCATTTGGGCTTGTATCACAAAATACCACGGACTGAGTGGCGTTCTGAGTGGCTGGTAAACAACAGAAACTTATTTCTCACACTTCGGGAGATTATTCTCACAATGCTCACAAACACTGCATGGCGGTGCTGGAGAGACCCGGTGTCTGGGTTCATAGCCAGCCCATCTCCCTGTGTACTTGCAGGGTGGAGGGGGTGAAGAATCTCAGTGGAAGCTCTTTTACATAAACACAAATCCCATTCCTGAGGGGCCCACCCTGAGCATCTGTCACCTCCCCAAGAGCCACCCTCCTGATGCCATAATTTTTGGGCCTCAGGATTTCAGCAAATGCATTTTAGGGAAACACATTCTGACATAGCAGCCTTCCTTGCACACACATTCCTCTCCTTCAGCGCTCTGCCTTTGCTTCTGTCCCCAGTGCTGTTCTCCCAGCCCACATCCCTCATTTCCCTACTCCTACTTATTCTTCTAAGTAGATGTCAGCTCTTCCAGGAAGACCTCCTGGGTTTCCCTTCTGTCAGGATAGGTGCCTGTTCTCTGTGCTCCCTAATCTCCTTGTAGCCCCTCATACTGAAGAGTTCTATTCTGCATCCTTCTTCCCTACAGCCTGGAGGCTCCATGAGGGCAGGCCCTGTGCCATTTTTTTTTCCAATGCTTTTCTGAGGGAATTTATGTAACAGCCAAGAACTAAAACTGACACATACTATGTGACCTAACAGAATCATCTGTCTCAATTACTTCATGTCGAAAATTAGGACAATAGTTTCTACCTTTTGGAATTGTTGTGTGATTTAAATAACATATTCAAAGTACTAAGAGCCTATCTGGTCCATTTTAAATACTCACAACATATGAGCTATTAGTAGGTTTATTTTATAAATGCTGATACATATCTGGTGATGATAACATATATTCCAGATACCCAGATAATAGAGATACAAGGGAACCTGTGGAGTCTGGCTGGCACTAGACCCTTACTAAACAGTAGCTATTGTGGCAATTTATTGTTATTATTTGCCACTGTTATTAAACTAAAAAGAAAAAAAAGACTCAGACACATAAGTGAAAATAGTTTAAAGTGCTATTAGCTGGATTCCTGGGGGCGGGGGGAATATCATTAGATGCAAGGTACAAAGGATCAGTTTTGAAACAATAACAAAGAACATTCTAGTAGTCAAAACTACCCAAAGCCGATGGGCTCTTTCAAATGGTATAGATATCTCTACCTTGGAATGTTCAGATGATGATAGGATGAGGGTGTAGAAGAACAGCTTCCACATTTACACAGATTTAAGTTCCTCTCTGAACTTTAAGCCTCTGAGTCGACCTTCAAAATTATATTCTGCTATTAATGTTTTGGTTGTTATTACGGACCTCAACGGAGGTTTTTAAAGTAGAAATTAACAGTTGAATGAAAGATAACATCCAACACGGAACCACATAGAAAGCCTCAATTTATACTTTTAAAAATGCCCTAATTGAGCACCAGAAACCAGAGTGTAAGTTCTGGCTCCATCACACACTGGTTCAATGTCCCCATGTGCAAAATCATAAAATGACAGTTGTTTTCTAGTACGAGATTAGAACTCTTGAGTCCCAAGCAAATATTACTCGGCTTTAGAGCTCTCAGTTCTGATTCCATCTCTTGTGTTTATCTTTCTTTGTTAAAAAGGGAGGTGAGGGGCCTCCCCAGTGGCGCAGCGGTTGAGCACTGGACTGTGAAGCTGCCTGCAACCGCTGCAGCGCCGGTTCGATCCCTGGCCACTGGGAAGGGTCCCACATGGCGCGCAGACCTCTCCTGCCGCACCTGCCACTCCCCTCAGCAGTGTCCTTCGGTCCTTCTGCCTGCTCTGCTCCCGGCTCTGGCTCTGGTGAATTCTCTCACCCTCCTGCACTTCTGACTGTACCCAGTGCATGTATAAATAAATAAATAAATCTTTAAAAAAAAAAAAGGACAAAATTCAAAAAAAAAAAAAAAAAAAGGGAGGTGAGGGCTGAGATTTAGGTGCTATTTCAAAATGATTGAACAGAAAAATCTCAGAAACTTGGATTTATTTCCCAGTCAGTTCTCAGTGTTGTGCCATTATTGCAAATAAGAATGATATTTTTAGAATTCAGATTTAAATACTCAATCTTTTGAGACTGGAGAAGACCGAAGGACACTGCTGAGGGGAGCAGCGGGCGGCAGGAGAGGTCTGCGCGCCATGTGGGACCCTCCTCCGGTGGCCGGGGATCAAACCGGCGCCCCAGAGGCCGCGGGGAGCTTCGCAACCCAGCGCTCAACCGCTGCGCCACCGGGGAAGCCCTCACCAGGCAACTCTTGACTTGCGATCATGATGACCTTCGCCACCAGGCCGCCAGGACAGTGCGTGTGACTACACTTCCGCTGTCCCTTCTTCTTTGCAGCCACCTGCTGAGAGTGAGGGCAGAAGCCTGGTGATGGCCACATATGGGGCAGTCCAGGCTGGGAACAGGATGTGGGATCAGGGACAGTGAACTTCTGGCTTCCAGAATAGGAAGCCAGATCCAGCTCTTGTTGATTCATACAAGAGCAGATTCCCTGATCCTGGAAGGCAGTCGGATGCTGAGCTAATCAAATCAAGAGAAGCCCATCGCCCAGCTCAGAAATACATCTCCCACCCTTTGCAAGACAGGGTAGACTCAAGCAGCTCTGCTTTCTCCTGCTGGGTCAAGATCACAGTCCTCTCAAGTCAGCAGAGCTGTGCCTTCCTTGTTCTTCGTCATCAAATAATTAAGTTCATTCCCCAGAAATACCACTCCAAGTAAGCTTGACTTGACCTGAAGTTCAGAAAATTACTCTTGGGCCAACCCCACCCTTTCTGGAACTGAGTTGGAGGTGTGACATTTGAGCTTTAATTACAGGCTCCCCCGGATAGAAATACAGTGTCGTAGAGGACTGTTTAGAAAGAGACCTGCCACAGTAGGTAGTGCAGCTTGCAATTACACTGTAAGAAAAGGCCAAGGATAAGCAGCTTGCCATAAAATAGCAAAGCAAATTGAATAATCAGTTCCTTTAAATACAGGGAAACATTATAAATAGTGTCACTTTATGAGTCAGAATTAACCTTCAAGATTGAATTTAGAAAGTAGCAAAGAATATTTCTGGGAAAAGCTCTTCTGTTTCCTGAAGTAAAAATAACTGCGAGGGGAAGGGTATAATTCCAGGATAAACCTGGGTAGGTAAATTAGGAAGAAAAGGTATATGTGGAATCCAAGTGCCCTACTCCCGCTGACAGCAGCCTGCGGGGGATAAAATGCTGGTTGACAGCAAAACAGGTGCAGAGTGAGCCTTCCGGAAGTTTCCACTGGGTGCCTGACCAGCTCGCCTGCCCGCACCCTGCACCCTGCTCTGCACTGACGTCACAGGCTATGACCAGGCTTTTATTCCACATGGGCAGTGGGAGGTGTGGGCAGGAAATCTGCGAGTGTAACGAGATAGTTTCCCTATAATTTTTCCTCCTAAGCCCCTTTTTTCCTTAGGTCTCTGGCTCTGGTTCTGGCTCTGAGGTAGAGTCTCCCCAGGCCCCCAGCCCCTGCCCATGCACAGCCCCAGCCCTGGCCCTGCTGGGCGGTTCTGAGTGCATCCCTACTTGTTCCAGCCCACAGCTGCGAATCTAGGCCTCCCTTAAAAGTTAAACCTTTTCTAGTTTGCAGTATCCTGCAAGGGTCCCCATTCAGTCTACTGGGCACCCCTAAATCCACCTGTCCAACAAAGGTAGTAAATACTTGCAGAAAAACACAAGTTAATAGGATGGAAATTTTATCATTCAACAATCTTTATGAAAGAGTTCACCAACATCCACAGGATACAGGAAATGATGTGGCAAGAGAAGGCTGCTACAGGAAAGGCTGGCCGTAGGCAAATACACATCCAATTCAGCCTCGCACCCAACCCGTAAGAGGTTGGGGTAATGGTGACTACAGAGTTACAACTGGCTAGTCCAGAAGCTTCCAGCAGCAGGAAGAGAGGCTCTTTTTACAGACTTAAGGTCACATTGGCTTATTCCAAAGACTTAGGATTGGCAGGATGCGAAGTTATTAACTACAGAGAAACTCAACGTAAACAAGCAGGTTCAAGTATCCATTTTGGCAAAGAATGGATTGTACAAGAGTAGGAGTACAGTTTTTAAAGGTAATTATATCTAAGGCTTCTTATTTAGAAAGTGTATGCTTAAATTGAAGAGCTGGTGTGTGTGTGTGTGTGTGTGTGTGTGTGTGTGTGTAACTAAGTGGCATTAACAGCCTCCCACATTTGGCACACTTTTCATTTCCAGACTATTCTCTGATATAGATGAGAAGTTCTTTTAAGACATTTCTATTTTGTGAAGTTCTCCCATTTCCCATTTTCCTCAATTACACTTTAAGGAGTGCTCACAGCATGACGACTATATTAGTATGAAATATTCTATATTCATCTTGCCAAGGGTGTCAACAGGAAATTCCTCAGCTGGTCAAAGCTCCTGGGATGAAACTCACCAGCCCGCTGACCCTGGAGAGCTGCCTCCTCACCGGAGCTTCAGGAAGGAGCAGCCGTTCTTTGGAATACTTTTTGGAGTTAGAAATTTGCAGAGAATGTGTTTGGGAGGAAGCAGTTTCTACCACGTAGCCTGAGCCTCTGCTCCCCTTTTTTTCATTTTTAAACATCTACCTACCGTGCTGGCATTCTTTATGAATTGGTTACTCGGTTATTGGTAAAATCATCCAACCACATACATCCCAACAAAAACACATCATCTTGCTCATATCTTGCACATTTACTTCCATATTTCTATTTAAGTAGTCTAAAATCTTGGGAAAATATCAATTTAAGAAATCACCTAGCTGTGAACCTTCAGAGTAAATTTATGTCTGTACCCCACAGCATGAACTTCTCTTGCTATTTCTGAAACACTACATGTACAATGAAGTTTGTTTTCACGCCGACCCCACCCCTCCGGGTCGAGTCCTCACACCCACATGGAGCTGTTGGCACCACAGCTACATGGACTTACCTTTAGTCCTGTGATCAGTTTTGCCAACGTGCCCAGCCTCTGTCCCCTTGCTGCACGGCAGGGTTCTGCTTTCTGGCCATGATTAGTGAGTTATGAGAAGTGACATCTGTCACTCTGCATCAGAGCATTTAATGGCAGTTTTCTTCTGCCACAGTAGCAACTTTTGGCATAAAAGGACAGGGACTGGAGCAACACTTCCCATCAACGCATAGTGGACATTGTGAGCGAGAAGGCAGTCTTGTTCTAAGCTGAAGATTTGGGGTTGTAACCACTCAGAACCTAGCTTACCCTGGTTGATACTCTCCCACCACTCACCCTGATCACTCTGGCCCAAGTAGCCCATTGCTGTCAGGTGAACCCCTCAGTCCATCTTCCCAGGCCTTTTATACCTTGGCCCACATCTACTCATTCAGCCTCGTCTCCCACTTCCCACCAACCATCCCAGCAATTCTCGGAGCCTGTGTTTCCTGCCTTCGGTCTGGTGATAACTTGTTTCTCAAATGCCCAAGGGACAACCATACCTGACACCTACAAATAATGAAGAATGGGTTAGACTCAAAAACCTAAGGTGGAGTCTTGCTCCGTGTTCACCCCGTCTCTTGTTAGTGCCTGGGAATTTTCCACACTGGCTCCTCCCAACTCTATTCCCTTCCAGAATCCCATTGAACTTGTTGGGCCTTCTCGTTTTGTCCCTCTTGACTTCTGACCTCTTTCTCCTGCTTCAGCTCCTTATCTCTGGGCTGTCTTCCAGGTAAGCGGACCACGCACCTTCCAGTTTAGTCTCTCTTCCGAGAGCCGCCCAGGCCTCCTCCCCAGGCTTCCTCCGTGTGTGCTGTCATCCTGCTGTGTGTGTGTTTCTTCTTCATTCTGCACCTGTGGGCTTTTTTTTTTTTTTAATGTTCTTGGATGGGCCTTCAATAAATGCTAGTTCCTATTACCAAGCATTCCCGAGTATTTGATTAGATTACCGTATAAAAGCATAGTGACAAAGACAGAAATTCTAGTATCGTGTTTTGCACATACTTTTTATTTGTCAAATAAGTGAGTATTTGTCAATATGTACATAAACACATAGAGCGAACACTCGATTTAGAGCAAGGAAATCTGGGTTCTAATACGCAAAAGCCACTTACCAGCTATGAGGGCTTAGGCAGAGAACTTAATCTGAGCTCAGCCTCCTCAACTGTAAAATAGGCTATTAGGACCCGTGCAGCCCACCACACAGGTTTATTGCAAGGTTCCAATGCAGAAACATAGGAAAGTGCCATGAATACAACTTAAGAGCAATACAAGTATAAATATAACAAGTAACAGCAATTGAACTTCAAGTTGAGGAATACTCATTCACGCCCTCGGGCTATACCGATATATGGCTGGAGTCAACAAGAAAGTGATAAAATATCTTGATGACAGGTGAGAACGAAGATGCCGTTCTTCTGAGTGGGAAGAATTCTGCAATATCCTGTAGCCTGTCCCTGCAATGAATCATTTCCTAAACGTAATGAAGACGTCAGAGCCCCACCATCAATGATTCTCTCCCAGAAGCATGGGGGCCAGTGTCCCACGTTTATTTACATACGAAATGTATTTAATACAGTGATGGATGTAGTGCCTACACCTGACAGCAGCAAGACCTTTCGAGGAACTGAACGTTGGCTACATCTACCATGCAAGTATCTATATATACACAAAGGTTTTCTTTTAAAAAAAAAAAAAAAAGTACAAAACATGTTTGGGGATAAATACAAGATATAAAATGCAAAAGAAAACACAGAACCAAAATGTGTAACTCTCCCAGAGAACTATGAACGGAAGGGACAGGAGTACCCTGCTGCACGCGGGCAAAGCAGAACTACTGGTATTAGAAACACTTATTGAAGTGACCGACCTCAACGCGGTGGCTCAGCACTTAACTGGAGGGCGACGGTGCTGCAGGCCGCTTGTGAAGTCGGCGCGGAGTTGTGCATCCAACTCAAAGTACCAGGACATTTGGCGGTAGCACCCAGAACAGGAAACGCCAACTCTTCAGACAGCAAAGGGTTAAGTCAACAGTGAATAATTTTTTTTTTTTTTCCTGTCAAGAGCCAAAGAAATACTAGATATTTTTAGTTGTGTCTCTGTAATGGTTAATAAATGACACGACAGGAGCTTGACTACCAGAAATCCACCGGACTGACCGCACCTGTGCAACCTCTAGGGTAGCCCAGCCCTTTCCTGACCGGACCCCCTCGTGCTATGGACGCCAGGCTCGCAAATGTGCCCAGAAAGACAACCAGCCCCTGGTTTTTCCCTTGAGGACACCCCACTCCCCGGTTCTGAGATGGAGTTAAGGGAACCCACACTCCTTTCTGGCCTAAGTTGTTACCCAGACGTGGAAGAAGCTACCTGAGGGCGGCCCGAGAGCCGCCCGCGAGGCCCGGGAACAGGCCGGGCGGTCCGGGAGAAGTGTGCGCTCCCCGGTGAGAGCAGGCACGTGGAGGGTAGTGCTAAGACACTTAGGAGTCCCCAGAGTGTTTGAGACCCACGGAAATCTACAATTTACGTAGTGAATTCTAAAAATTAAAAACACTAAAAAAGGCATTATCTTCGCCTGTAATTAGTTAACCCATTCAAATCCGTAACATACAAAATGGTTTATTTGATTTCAGGAACTGCCCCTGTTACTAAGAACTCCGTTTTAAAGAAACAGTACAAAAAGAAAAACTCTAGCCCCCCAAAAAACCAACAAAACCTCAAAACGTTTTCCACTAAATACTGATACAAACATGTAACAAAGAGTATAAAAAGTTATTCATTTAAATATATACAAACTCTTTTAAACTCAAATACTGCTTTAATGCTTCTCGAGGATGGACCACCACCAGGTAAAGGGATGTGGAGAGAGGAGACCCCCAAACAGCCTGGCCTGGCTGTCAGCGCTATTACACTGCCAACTTTTTGTAACAAAAATGTCTTTTTTACTCCAATGTGGACTGGGATTTTCCTCGCGGGAGGGCCGTGGCTATTTCTCGGCTGCACTGACTCTTTTGGACTTGATGAAGGCCATGCCGTGTGTCCGCATGTGCGCGTTTAAGGCAGCTTCCGTCTCGAACGTCTTTGCGCACACCTTGCACTTCCTGTCCGACGGCGTGCCGTCCGCCGCCTCGTCCTCGGGCCCCGGCTTGTTCTCCTGCTGGTGGTCTTCCCCGGCCCCGTTCTGCTTGGACACAGGCTGGGGCTCCTTCAGCTTGTGCACGATGAACAGGTGCCGGGACAGGGAGACGTGCGACGTGTAGCAGAGGCCGCACTCCCGGCACTGGTAGGACGAGCCGTCCGACTTGTGCTGCGGGATGTGCTCGTGAAACTGCAGCAGGTTCTCGGTGGTGAAGCCGCACACGGCGCACTTGTGGACCTTGAAGACGTTGATCTTTAATTTCTTCAGGGGCTGGGTGATGGCTCCTCTGGGAGGTCTGAACTCCAACACGGGTTCTTCCAACTTCCGCTTGGGACTAGGAACCTTTGGGGAGAAAGCAGAACAAACCACATGACTGGACCCCCTAGTGCACCACGGGGTGGGGTCTCTCGATGTGAGTGCTGCTGGGGGAACAAGAAGGCCTGCACCCTGAGCTCCGGACAGGGTCCTTGGGCAGCTGCCTGTCCCACCCACCGGGCTCAGGCTTCTCAGCCACCACAGGAACCTGGACCACCAGAGTCACTCTGGCCAACTGGCGGGCGATGGACAAATGACGCTCTGCCTTCTAGAAGGGAGTCTCCACAGATCAGGACAGACAACAAAAACCTGGAGAGTCATTAAAAGGAGAGCTGGGAGGGGTCCTTGAGGCAAGAGGAGATGGGTGGGGTTGTGAGGGTGCTTAATGGGGTAGGGGAGGGTCTGAGATGGCCTCAGGGATAGATAGGTGAAACTGGAGAAGAGGCCTGTGGCTGCAAAGGCGTGAGTCACACAGTCCTGCTGCGAGAGAAAGGGCCAGGCACTGGAGCTGCCAAGGACCCCATGTGGGAGCCAGTATTGGGCAGAGGGTCAGCGGGAGCCAGGTATGGCTGGAGCAGAGGGACCGGTGTGTGCATGAAGCTGGACAACAGCAAAGCACCTTCTGAGGGAGAAGATGTCAGAACTTTTGCTTTTCCTGAGACTGAGCACCACGGACACTGGCCTGGTCCAGTACCTGTCTCTCCTGCCCACTTACCTTCCCCACGTCTCTCCCACTGCCAGCCCGGTCTGTTTCCTTCCTTTCAGCTTTCTACATTGACCCAGCTAAGTTTCCTTACTTCGAACTTTCCAAATATCCAAGCCTACGCGATATTGCTCCCCACTCCATGGCACATCTTTCCTGCCCCATCCAAGGAGCATCCCTCATACATGGCCTTGACCTGAAACTGCCCTTGTATGTATGTGGTTCATTTCCCCCTCCTGCCACCACCAGCACTTGAGGGTAAAGACAATTTAATGGACACTCAGATCTGATTTGTATACTGATGAGACATTACTCAATGATTAACTCCCTGAAAGCACAAATGGGCCTTTTTCCAGAACATTCCAGACACAGCACAGTGCCAAGGACAGCAGGATCTCACCAGCATCTGCCACACTGCTGCTTCAGCTCAGGTGGTGCTTGGCACACACCTGCCCTATAAACAGGTTAACACAGGCACTGCTGTCTGATTAAGGTCACTATCCACTGATCAAAGAGTAAGGCATGAACTTGGAATTTCAACCTTGATCACTACAGAGGGAGGCTAGAAGGAATCCCTGCGTTTTTATTAGGTATCTGCCACCACCAGTATGTTACCAATTAAGAATCTAGTTTTACATATTCCTTTTGGCTTAGGGACAATTTCCATGAGTCAACATAAAATTTTTTAAATTAATCTATCAAAGTAGAGCCCTAAAGCTGTTCCTGGAAGGATACCAAAGAAACTTATTGACAAAGATTTTCTTTTGGAGCAAGCTAAAATAGTGTAACTGAAGAGTACCTATTATTTCCCACCTTTATATATAATCTGAATTTTCACAACTGCATATTAGTAGGGCAATGTCAATGTAAAGAATGCATGAAAAAGAGAATTCAATTGACAAGAGTTTCCCCTATAAGGACATCTACTGCGTTTGAACCTTAGTATCTTCTTTTATTTCTGTTTCCTCCTCATTGGTGGCTTCTGTCATTTCTTTCAAGTCAGGATCCTTAATACCATGCATAAGCTGGATGTGCTTCTCCAGCATCAACCGTTTCGTAAAGGTACGTCTGGAGTCTGGGCAGTGCCTGTGGGAGCAAAAGGCAGGAAGATAAACTACTTGCCAGCAAGTTCTCAACTGAACAGTAACTGCTCGCTGAGAGATCTTCAGAGCCAAGAGTGCGCTCAGGGGTCAGGGTGACCGTGTGAACATCAGAGGTGTGACCTGGTGAACACAGGAGGTCGTGACCCTTGTGAACACCACAGGTGGTGACCCGTGTAAACACCAGTGGTCCAGAGCTAAAGAACAAGTTTGTTATGAGATCACAATTCTAACTCATGGGGGGAGAGTTTTTGCAGCTTTTATTCAAAGTTTTCTGAGCCAAATTAACCTAATTTGGTTCAAAAAGAATATTTATCTTCAAGGTTTGGCTAAAATATTACTTGATTCATAACTCTACCTTTGATTTTACTTGTTTTTTTTTTTTGTTTGTTTTTTTGTGTGTGGGACCCTCGCCGGCGGCTGGGGAACGAACCGGCGCTGCAGAGGCTGTGGACAGCCTCACGGCCCAACGCTCAACCACTGCACCACCAGGGGAGGCCCTAGTTTTGATTTTAAAATAGAGAATATTAAATTTCAAGTATTCTTACAAGGACTCAGAATGTTCCCTCAGAATTTACATCCGGAGGGAAAAAAAAAACAAACAAAAGAATTTACATCCTGAGATGCAAAGTGCCTCCCTGACCCCTCGTGCTGACACTAACTACTGGGAGGACAGCAGACGCTCTCAGAAAACCTCAAGGACACCCCAGAGGTGAGGGCTGAAGGACGTAAAAGAACCACGCTTAATACCTTCAAAAAAGCTTCTGCTAATTTTTTGTGACTCTTTTATAACAACCTCAAACCCCGATGACTTCACGTCAGAGACCCCTTTACAGGAGCTGCGGTGGGGGTCAGAACCAGAAACAAGTGCCAAGAAGAGGATGGACAGCAAATGGGGCGGGCAGGCCTCAAGTTTTACGACAGCTTGTGGAATTCACAGGGAAAGAAACCCCATCAGATGAAGGAAGCGCGACGCCAGGCTTCCTTCTCATCTTCTCAGCCCAGGACTTCTTTCTAAATCCTCCACATCTTTCCATGCAGTCTCCGCACACAGATTTTATTTTCAGAAGTTTTTTATCTCACCCAATCACTCCCAGTATCAGTCCCACTGAAGGAGAATCTGTGTCCCTACAGCCCCGCCCAGGACTCTCCCCAGCTGACCGGGCGCAGTGCGGCCACCCGTCTGCAGCCGGCCTGGGTGGGCGCCTGACCCTCCCCACCCTGCCGAGCTCACAGCACATACTGGCTATGAGGCACCTGTCTCCTCGTTCTTGTTTTTTTAAGACAAGTACCAATAAGTAACCAACCCGGCTACAGCAACCCCCTTGAGGCACGTTCTGGGTGGACGGGAAGGAAGCCTTTTCACCAGTAACTTACAATATATAACGAGCTCTGATCTTCGCATACACAGGCGAAGCTCACAACTGTCCACTCAGCTCTTCCCATTTGGTCTCTGAGGCAATGGTGTATTTGGGAAAGGCTGCCCTGCACCGGATGGGGGGCTGCAACCTGGGGCAGAGGGGCCAGCCTGGGACCGCATCCATGGCCAGCTCTGGCGTGGGTGGCTGTGAGCAAGGCAGCCCGAGACCAAAGGGCATCTCACGTAACTCAGCACTACAGATCTTCTCTCCCCCAATTCTCAGTGACAACATAGACGCCGTATATGCCTCCGGGCCACACAGAGGACGACGTATGCAGGATGTGCAAGACGCAGCTCTATTTATTTTCCTATTTGTGTCACGGCCCCAATGCAGAAGCTCTATGTTGAAACCACAGAGTATGGTTCAGAAATGAAACCTTTAAACTGGGGCAGAGGATGGGGAATGGAAAGTGAATTAAAAAAACCTTCCAGAAGTTGCAGCCTAGTCCTTTCACTGTGCCTCCCCACATTAGAAACCGTGACTTACGAGCAAGTATAAACTTTCCTGATGCCTTTGTGCTTGATCCGGTTGTGGCGGCACAGGCTGTGTGATGAGCTGAAGGATTTGTCACACTGGCGGCAAGGGTGTTTTTTCATTTGCTTTATCAGGAGAAAAAGAGAGAGAAAGTCACCTGAGAGGACAGGACAAAAATGTTCCACAAATTAAGAACATTATCCTAATAGCATAAGTTAAATAATCATTTTTTTAAATCAGTACAGTAACAAAACTAAAGGTTTCTTAAGCAGATGAAATAAAAAGGGAAAGTCAGTGACCATGAAGGGACCAGTCTCAAGAGAATGGGATAAGGTAGATCATAACAGGTAAATACCATGTTTTTTTCCTCCCTCAAAAACATGAGTTTGATTCAACACAAACACCCAGATATTTGAAAAAAGAGAAAATATTAATACATTTTCGTTGCAAGAGAGATGTTATTTTTAAGCAGTAGATTAATATATGAAAACATAGTTTCCAGTAAATGCCAAGTAAGTCAATACTTATGCACCAGAAAGAGTATGTCACCTTACTCAGTGTGCCAGTTTAAATCTCTGGCTAATTTAAACATTTTAACTTTTCCCTCTCTAATGACTAAGTAATTATCCTTATAGAAGAGATTTCCAGAAGGTTTTCTATTTTAAATAATACCATTTGGTTATCTCAAGAACATGAAAGTTTGAAATCGCTTTATAGAGTTGCTTATTGGTATATGGGTGGGGGAGGGAGAATATGAATGTGTGGGTAGGAGGAGACAAGAAAAGCTATCAAGAGGTACATAAAAATAAAGTTTCCTACTTTGGCTAAGACATAACTCTGTTGTTTTAGCATAGACCCATGTGGAGCTCTGACGGAAAATTAGTGGCTTAACTGTAAAGCACAATTCCTTGGGTACAAGGTGCACTGCAGTCGCGAATTAATATTGTATTGCAAGGAAATATAATCAAGGAAGAAATGCCAGCCTCATGAATACAGCAAAATTTGGCTCAATGCTCCTTAAAAATAAGGTGGAAGTGGGAATAAGTTCTTATGTGAAATACCATTGCTATTTTGGCAATAAGAAGAAATCAAGCAATTACGAGCTAAGTGATAAAGAAACAGCTGTTTTTTACATCATTTTTACATTTACCACTTGACAAATAGCCTGGTAAGGACATGTATTCAGTAGCTGAGTTAGGCTCTGGGCTCCTGGAGATGGGTGGGCAGCTGTTTCTGCTGCTTGTATGTTGTGGCACCGGGGGATTCTCCCCCGACACTAAGGGGGTGGTCACAATGGTGCCTTTCTCAGAGGTGCGGGGGCGGTTGTTTGATAAAGCAGGGGGTCAGCACAGCGCGCAGGACAGAAATCCTCAGTATAGACTCCTCTGCTAATGACGGTAAAGTTACACATCCAATCTTCACTTTAGAGAGCGGAAAATACTGTCTTTTAAGTAAAGCACATCAGTCCCTCGGGTGTTCGAAAAGGTCTTGAATCCAGACTAAGGCAAAAGAGAATGTTTCCTCTCCATGTTAAAGACGAAAGCTGACCCTTGTGTTACTGCTTTCCTCAGTATATAATCTCTGGGGGAAAAGAAGAGGACAAAGCAAAAAACCAGCTGGGCCCCTGAGAGCCACTGTCCCTTCTCCCAGAGGAATTCCATCAGCATGTTTCAGTGAAACAAAGCAGACCACCTGCAATGCCCGGTCTCGGCAGCGTGAGAACGAATGATGTTTCACTTAGAATGAAACTTCAGGAAGAAAACAGTTAAGAAGGGCTACACGCTGACTGTATGTATTAATATCTAACGCCTTTGAATGCTGTACATGTTAAACGGACAATGTTAAGTTCACCCTCAAGAGTCAAAACACAAGACAGCTTTCCGAAGCAGGGCGGCTGAGCAAATAATCACGACACACAGAACTCAAGTGTGTCTTTCCACCAGCACAGGGCCAGCGGTCTCAGAACCATAAACTGGATTTTCCTATGAAGGTGAAAGGCTTGATGCTTTATTTCTTGCTATGATGCTGTTATATCAATATCAAATCAAGTCTTTAATAGAGAAATACCAACATGGAAATCCACAGGAGATAATGAAGAGCAGCTTGGCTGAATCAATAATGTCTATTCTCAAAGAGCTGACAAATATGAGAAATTCTTCCTTTTCAGCATCTGCATGAAACACGCACAAATGAACTGTGAAATCCCTAAACAATGACGCAGAGTTTCAAAATCACCAATGACAAGAAAATTACAGGTTTGAACACTAGCTTCCAGATCAAACCTGCCATGTTCACAATCGCTAACCAAACAAATGACTTTCTTCTTTGCTGAATTTTAAATACTAACTTACTTGAAGGTGCACCACCTACTTTATTTCCTATCTCCACAAAAGCTCTTCAGTAGCCTACTAGCTCACACTGCCACTTTGTGATACAGAAAGTTTTTACAAATCAAACAAAAATGGGAAAAACAGTAATAAGCAAGTGTGGTATGTGTCATGTCGCATGTTTAAGGCCACCTGCCTCCTCCCGGCTCCAACGGAGCGTGTTGTTCAAGGGCCGGGGATCTGTGGACTTCCTACAAGATGACTAAAACCAGGAATCAGGTTTTCCCACTTGATTCTGCGTTGTTTCGTTTTTTAACTAGAACCCTCTAAAAAAAACAGTGAACTACTAAGCTGGCAGGGCCTGAAAACCTTTGCAACACTTTTGAGGAAAACATCACACAGGACATACACTAGGGGACACATCCTTCCTCAACTTTCTCCCCAGTCTCCAATTTTTTTACTTTCCTTTTCAATTCTGTAGGCTAGAAAGCGCTGGCTCCTCTCAGCAAAGGCCTCTTCTGTGAAGCCCTTCGCCTAGGGAGGAGTCTGAGCTCCTGGAGGGGTCTCAGGGCTGGGTTGCCACAGTCTCCCTCACAACCCACTTCCAGTTCTCGTAACTAGTCCTGTCTTTTCTCTTGGCTTGAAGGCTTTGGTTTCAGGTGGCCTGGAAGAAGTTACTGGGACCGGGGAGGGGGTGCGGTCACATCATCACACACCATCGGCCACAGGAAGCTTCCCCCTTCTGAGACTGCTATTCCCAGAGGGATCTGCTTCCCGGCAGCAAGCAGAGGCTCTCAACGGCAGTCTCACATCCAGAAACACAAAATTCAGGTGACAGGGAGAGACTTACTTCCAGACCAGGTGGACAAAGAACCTCCAGGTCTATCAGAACACTTCTTATGAAAACAGAAAAACCCCAAGGCCATATATAGTTGGAACACACCACAGCAGCAATTCCCCAAATGTACTGATAACTCCTGAAGTTTCTGGACCCACATGGGAATCTATGCTGCAGATCTGCACACATGCGGGACTGTCGATTCTGCTGCAATTCGACACAGTACTTCAAAAAGTCACCGCGCTGTGCAAAGTACGGCAATAAAACCCATGGGTTTCTAGTGACAAGGGGGTCGGGGCACAAACTCAAAAACTCTGCCAGTGACATACGCCGTGACAACAGAGCACGCTGCACACATTGTTGAATGACTAAGAAAGTATAGACTGTGCAAACGACACGTGGTCCTTTCCCTTGAAAAGGCCTGCAGTTGGCCCATGGAAGTGGGCGGTGGGCATCAGAGGGCGGAAGCTGGCTGAGTTTTGTGAGTGGTAGAGATTTCCCTCTGAAATCGGAGGGAAGTTTTAAAACCAGTTGTGGGCCAATGAGACGCGACATTCGGAGGGCCAGGGGATGGCCTGGGCCTGAGGTGTGCAGGAAGCTGATATACTCCATTTCACAGCTCTCTGTGCTCCTGGGATATCTCAGGGTTGGGAATCACACGTGAGCGAACTCAGAACTCATGATGATCTCCAACTGCTCCCTGGTAAATCACCCGCAGCAGATGTGTGTCTTCGACACAAACATGACACTTAGCAGAAGGCTGTGCACTGCAGTGCAGGGTGTAAGGGGAAGGATGGGGGAATGTGGATCCATCAAAGGAGACCTGGAATCCTGCGGGTCTTGAATTCTAACCTCCTTATGAGAGATCTGAACACTAGCACTCTGGCGCAATGTTCGTGTGCTAGTCTTGCCATAGCCAGAGGTGGACAAACAAATGACAGGCAGGTGAACACGGCTCAGGAAACTCCAACTACTATGTGTAAAAGCACCAAGAAAAACAATTTTTGAGGACTAAGCCATCCAAGTTTTTACAAATTGAGTGGTTTGGTGGAAATACATAAACACGAGGTATAAATTTAGATCGGAGGTTGGCAGGCTTCTTTGGTAAAGGGCCAGCTAGTAAATATTTCAGGCTTTGCAGGCCATAAAGTCTATTGCTACTACTCAAGTCTGCCCCGCAGTTCAAAAGCAGCCGCAGACAGTGGTACCTAAATGAGTGGTGTGTGTCAAAATCAGGTGGTGGGCCTGTGACCCACAGTTCATTAACCCCGATTTAGACCGGCCTCACATCTGCTAGAAGACAGTCAAGACTCAATCACTTGGAAGGAAGCCTAATTAGTAGTCGGTCACCAGTCTAGGTAAGAACACATCAGGACTATAAAGTCAGGGGGGTGATTTCTTTTCCCAGGCCATGCTCTGAACATCTTGAGTTCCACCAGTATGTCACTGGGCTGTGTCGAGGTGGCTGAGAACTTTCAAATGAATGGTGTGTGTTTGTCTCTGGCTGTGCACATTTAAAACAACCACCAGCAAGACCAGCCTCCGAACCTTCAGGTTAGAAGACTCTGGTTTTCTGATAATATCAAACGACCGAAAAAAGTACAACTCAGAACGTAATCCACCCGGGGTGAGAAGAGACGAGATCCAGCACGGGAGAGAAAGCCACCCCACTGCAGCCACTGTCCCAGACACTCCCCAGTGCCCTGGGACGGTCACAGAGTCCACATTCAGGGCGCCATGGGGTCACGGGGTATGGTGAGCACCGCAGAGGCCTGAGGTGCTAGTACAGACCCCCCAGACAGACCTCACACTCACCGGGAGTCCTGACCGGTCCCACCCTCTCCCCTTCACGACTGACGAGAAACGTAAACAGCAGGTTCCCGGATGCAAAATTCAGACATCAGGCTGCGTGTCTGTGAAAATAAGCTTCGCCGCCAAATTCTTCTGGATCTGGCTGCAC